TGAGAACAAGTCCTTGCTCGAGCGTGCATTCCATTTGCTCGAGCGGACTGTAAACACATGCAAAGTACTGGATACACGCATTTCACGCCCGAGCGTTACTTTCCCGCTCGAGCGGACTGCATGAACTCAGAGTGTACGCTCGAGCATGGAGTTCCCCGCTCAGCATGGATCCAAATCTGGAATATCCAGATTTGTCTCCAAGCATGAAACTCAAATTTAAAGCATCAAATTTGATCCTTTTGGGCTAATTTTCTGGAAAACACTTTAAAACTCATAATATGACCATGTTTCAAAGATCAATTTGCAAAATCAAAACCCATTTCCAAACAAAACTTCAAGAACATGATGTACATGCAACATGCATGAATTTAATCAACTTCAAAACTTCCAATACATAAACAAATGAGTCAATCCTTCCAAAAACATGCTGAATTCATGGACCAAAGCTAGAATATGGAATGCATGTGAGGATTTGCATGAAATCAACCTCAAAATTCGACAATGTAAACATGCATGCATGAATTCCTACTCAATTCAACATATAGAACCAATTCTAGACTCTAATCACAAACTTCCATAGAACATGCAAGATACAACTTAAATATAAGTTCAAAAAGATGATTCTCCTACCTTAGGTCCCAATTTCCAAGAATGGAAGCTCAATTTGCTATTACTCTTCAATTCTTCTAATTTTCTAAACAATTCTTGAAGAAACCAAAGCTCTCCTAACTCTCTCTCTCTCTAGTCGGTTTAGGCTCAAGAAAAGGGCTGAAGAAATGTTTGTGTCTAAGTGTGTAGCTCAAGCCTCAAGGTGTGAATAAGTGGCCTACTAAGTTGCAAAATGATAGATAAGTCCAACTAATGTAATTTAACTTATTTAATCCAACCTAATCATACAAATCAAATTTCAACTAAATTACCATAAAATCACATTAATTCTAATTAACACAAAACACTAATCAATTCTGGATTCGGGCCGCCGATAAGGTCTTCAATTTGCAGTTTAAAACATAAAACATGAACAGATCATTAGCAGTCAAACAGATAGACATGCATTCAAACTAATACACTCAATCAATCAGTCAGAATTTCAGTCAATCAGTCACTTAACATGCTTAATCATAGATTAGCACTAATCAGTGGTGAGGGTTGTCACATTTGATGATACTGTTCATCAAAACGGGGCTGCATAAATCCGCTACAGTAGGTCGCTAATTTACGAGTGATACAATAACTCGTTACAACAAGCGAGGCACTGTTCATCGCTACAATATGTTATCGGATGTCCGGCAGGAATGTCCTGCCAGACATCCGGCCAGTCAACCGGTCAACGACTAATTTTTTTTTTTTTGCTTTTTTAAGAATTATTTAACTAGTAACTTATCAATTTAATAAAAAAAGAAAGACTAATAAATACAATAAGACAATAATATTTAATAAGAATAAGTTAGAATAAAAAATTTAATACAATAAGTGATAAAAAGCGATAAACTAAAATAATGAAATAATTTAATTTGACTAAAACTTTTTGCGGACTGCATGAACTCAGAGTGTACGCTCGAGCGTGAAGTTCATCGCTCGAGCGTGGATCCAAAATCTGGAACTTCCAGATTTGTCTCCAAGCATGAAACTCAACATTTAAAGCATCAAATTTGATCCTTTTGGGCTAATTTTCTGGAAAACACTTTAAAACTCATAATATGACATGTTTCAAAGATCAATTTGCAAAATCAAAACCCAAAGGTAGTTCAATTGAACCCATTTCCAAACAAAACTTCAGCATGAAATTCACGCTCGACAGGCGCTCGACCCCCGCTCGAGCGTAAGACACAAGTCCTCGCTCGAGCGTGCATTCCCTCGCTCGAGCGGACTGTAAACACATGCAAAGTACTGGATACACGCATTCCACGCTCGAACGTTACTTTTCCCGCTCGAGCGGACTGCATGAACTCAGAGTGTACGCTCGAGCGTGGAGTTCTTCGCTTGAGCGTGGATCCAAAATCTGGAGTTTCCAGATTTGTCTCCAAGCATGAAACTCAACATTTAAAGCATCAAATTTGATCCTTTTGGGCTAATTTTCTGGAAAACACTTTAAAACTCATAATATGACATGTTTCAAAGATCAATTTGCAAAATCAAAGCCCAAAGGTAGTTCAATTGAACCCATTTCCAAACAAAACTTCAAGAACATGATGTACATGCAACATGCATGAATTTAATCAACTTCAAAGCTTCCAATACATAAACAAATGAGTCAATCCTTCCAAAAACATGCTGAATTCATGGACCAAAGCTAGAATATGGATATGCATGTGAGGATTTGCATGAAATCAACCTCAAAATTCGACAATGTAAACATGCATGCATGAATTCCTACTCAATTCAACATATAGAACCAATTCTAGACTCTAATCACCAAACTTCCATAGAACATGCAAGATACAACTTAAATATAAGTTCAAAAAGATGATTCTCCTACCTTAGGTCCTCAATTTCAAGAATGGAAGCTCAATTTGCTATTACTCTTCAATTCTTCTAATTTTCTAAACAATTCTTGAAGAAACCAAAGCTCTCCTAACTCTCTCTCTCTCTCTCTAGTCGGTTTAGGCTCAAGAAAAGGGCTGAAGAAATGTTGTGTCTAAGTGTGTAGCTCAAGCCTCAAGGTGTGAATAAGTGGCCTACTAAGTTGCAAAATGATAGATAAGTCCAACTAATGTAATTTAACTTATTTAATCCAACCTAATCATACCAAATCAAATTTCAACTAAATTTACCATAAAATCACATTAATTCTAATTAACACAAAACACTAATCAATTCTGGATTCGGCCGCCGATAAGGTCTTCAATTTGCAGTTTAAAACATAAAACATGAACAGATCATTAGCAGTCAAACAGATAGACATGCATTCAAACTAATACACTCAATCAATCAGTCAGAATTTCAGTCAATCAGTCACTTAACATGCTTAATCATAGATTAGCACTAATCAGTGGTGAGGGTTGTCACATTTGATGATACTGTTCATCAAAAACGGGGCTGCATAAATCTCGCTACAGTAGGTCGCTAATTTACGAGTGATACAATAACTCGTTACAACAAGCGAGGCACTGTTCATCGCTACAATAATGTTATCGGATGTCCGGCAGGAAGTCCTGCCAGACATCCGGCCAGTCAACCGGTCAACGACTAATTTTTTTTTTTTTGCTTTTTTTAAGAATTATTTAACTAGTAACTTATCAATTTAATAAAAAAAGAAAGACTAATAAATACAATAAGACAATAATATTTAATAAGAATAAGTTAGAATAAAAAATTTAATACAATAAGTGATAAAAAGCGATAAACTAAAATAATGAAATAATTTTAATTTGACTAAAACTTTAAAAGGTTTGGTGTTAATACTCTTAATGGCTTGGTTTGACCCATGTGAACCCACTGACTTATTTAAAGCCATTTTTAAAAAGTAAAAATAAACAAAAACAAGAACTTCAATATATTATAGACTAAGGTTATGATGAATTGTCAAAGTAACATAATTACCAAGAATATAATTGTTGACCAAAACGGCATTGCCCTATTGTCCTTCTAGTAAAAAAATTAAATTAAAAAACATAACACAAATAGAAAAAAGTTAAGAATCAACGTAAAAACAACTAGCCTTTCGTTAGGTTTAAACGTAGTCGGAATAATACATTCTTGTTCACATCGATTCGTGCATCAAACACAGAATAATAATTATTTAACTCTAAATAATTGGCATTTATATGTTGACTATCATGACAACTATACAATTAGACATTTTCTGTGCACCATTGGATAACAAGTGATATAGATAATAAAATGAACCAAACATGAGAATTTGATTGGTCAAAAGAGGGTTCTATGGACCCTTAAGCAGGGATTCCAATTGATTAAAGGGTGCATGATTCAAATTGGTTTAATTGCGACCAAATCATAATAAAACAACTATAATCAATTTTCCAAATTTTAAAATAGAATCAAATGGCGACTTTTAAAACTAAACCAAACCAGAGAGAGAATTGTACTTTCGCATAGATGGAGTCTCAACACTTTCTGTTGGTAATACTACATGCACCAATTAATGTATACACTAGTATACCAACTAGTGCTATACCATTATTATTGCTCTTACCTATTATACAAATTATAAATACCTAAAACCTCTAAAATTATACCACATCATCTATTAGTATATTAGTTAGTACATTAACTAATACATATAGTATTATTCAAAAAATAAATCAAGCCATTCATGCATATCACTAATTACTATGTAGAGCAATCAGCATTCAAGCAGCAGCAAATGTGAAGAATAAATATAAATAATAAAAAAAATTGCGATCGAAACGTACTTTCATCCCTTTCCATTTCCACATTTTTTTTTTCTATTTTTGAAGATAAAATATTTATACAATTTGGAGAGAACTTAATCAATACCGAAATTGAAATATGGCTCTACAGGCAGCTTGAAAGAAAAGACTAGGCAGTGAAAACCCCAAACCTACTTCTTCCAAGAGTCGGAAACTTAATCCTCCGGACCCATGCTAGACCCTCCGTGAATTATAAACTTTCATCTACAAAATGTACATGAGAGAGATCGATCACATACACTGGCTTGTTATGACATAAACATGCACCCCGCTCATATGCACAGTATTGCAAACACTTGCACTGTGATTCTTGACGGATGCAATCACTATTACCTTCAGTAATTAATCGAAAACCATTTTCACAATATTTGGAAAGCAATGATTCTGTAAATAACATGCATTCGGCAGTTCTCCTCCGGGAGGCTATGAATCAACCTGCATCAAAAGAATGGGCACGTGCCGGGTTCAACTACATAATTTAACAAGAAAATAGAAGTTTATGCAACAATATGGTTAGCAGCTGTTTTTCACAATCTTACCTTCCTCGGAGAAAGAAAACATCCCACCTAGCAATTCATCATTCTCCTCATCATCTTCGGGGTTTAGGCTCTCACAGTTCTTTTCGCTGCAGGTCACATGATCAGCTACAACTTCAGTTACGTTGTGGCATCCATTGAGCTCCAACACTCTGCAGTAACCCTCCTGAAAAAATGGCCCAAAATCCACAATATTTTGCAGTCTTGAAGGTGTAGAACCCTCCAGGCTCGTATTCATAGCAGAATCAAAAGCATCTGAAGTCAGAGCTGCTTCAGCAATAGCTCTTCTACAGGAAGGCACAGTGTCATCGACATGACAATCACTGTTCTTTGAATGCTCAGAAGGCAAAGATACAACAGCCAAGGATTTCTGGTTCAGTACGGAGGACTCAACATTGGTATTCCCTCTTCTTTCCCGATTTAATGTATTCACAGTATCACTAACGGGTGTA